GAGTGCTGTTCTTTAAAAAAAAAATTCAACAGTCACTATGTATGCTTTTAGCAATGCCCCGGCATATCTCTTTTGGGAAGCCTTCCCTAATCCTCTCAGCTAGTGCTCTCTCCTTCCTCTGGGTGCCCTGGCACGCCTATGGTAATCCTCAGCATGTGATATTGTGAAATTAAATGCATCTCCTCTACTCTGCCACTAATGGCAAGGCCTTCATATGAGTCTCCTCTGTTCTTAGCCCAGCTCACACAAGGTCTTAACAAAGGGCAGTGGAATAATGGCTTTTTCACCATGTTATTTTCAAAACTCAGACAACAGAGCTTTCCGGCAATATAGGTCCATGCATACCAAAAAAAAAAAAAAAAAGGTATTTTAATATAAACTTGTTTCAGTAGAACAGAATGATTGAACATGAATTCTGGAGCCAGACTATCTGGGTTTGGATCTTAGCTCTGACACTTTTTAGTTCTGTGATCTTGACCAAATTACTTAATCCCTTTATATCTCAATCTTCTCATCTAAAAACAGGGAATAACAGTACCTAAATCAAAGAATTGTTACAAAGATTAAACAGTATATATAATGGGCACACACTGTTACCTAAATGTTAGCTTGCAATTATGTTAAAAACTGTCTAAAAAAAAAAACTGTCTAGTCACAAAAACGATTGGAGATGCTTCACACTAAAATACAGAATACACATGTCAAGTGTAGAATGACAAGATGCAACAGCACTGCAGACTGACTGTGTGGATTGAATAAAATCTGCAGAACAAAGAGACTTAGAAGTTAGAGTCCACTGGCCTGGTACAGTGGCTCTTACCTGTAATCCTACCACTCTGGGGGACAAGGCAGGATCGCTGGAGGTCAGGACTTTAAGACCCAGCCTGAGCAAGAGTGAAAAAATTAGCTGGGTATAGTGGAGCATACCTGTAGCCTCAGCTACTTGGGAGACTGAGGCAGGAGGGTCACTTGAGTCCAGGAGTTTGAGGTTGCAGTGAGCTACAATGATGCTACTGCACTCTACTCAGGGTGACAGCGAGACTCTGTCTCAAAAAAAAAAAAAAAGAAAAAGAAAAAGAAAAGAAATTCAAATTATTGGGTCCAACTCTACATCTACTGAGTCAGACTCTCTGGGGGAGGGCCCAGCGAGCCCTCCAGATGACCCTGATGCTCTTTCCCCTGACTGCCTACATCGAGTCATACCCTAAGGCCTGTTAATTCTCCAACATCTTTCCCAGCTCAGTCCCCACCACAACCACAATTTAAGTTACTACCATCTCACCTTATCTGCTCTCCTAAACTGATGCCTCAAATCACCACCCATGAGATCTTTCCTAGAAACACGACTCCTTACTCTTTTGCCCACAAACCTAAACGCTCGCTGGTCACACTGTGGTGCTTCAGACCTCAAAGCTTACTCTCTGCCTCTCTGCTATGTATTCTTTCCATAGCCTTGTCAGCACTGATAAATTATTTTTCACTTTTCCTAATCTTGTAGTTTTAATTTTGTATTTCTTTAATAACAATAAAGGCTGACCATCACCTCCATATATTTATCACTTATGGTAAATTATAATATTAGCAACTAACAATGATTGGGAACTTTGTGTCAGAAACTCTTCTAAACCTTCGTAAGAGTTAAATAGGAGAATGAATAAGAAAATGTCTCTTAAGATGCTATATGCAATGCAGTAGGTTTGTTCCATTGATCCTCAAGAGCAGAGATGATATGGATTATTTTATTTGTGGTATTTCTCCTCTGGCTTCTCATCCTTAACAGGAATCAAGGGTAGTGCTTAAAACTCTGGAGCCAGTCTCCCAGTTCGAATTCCAGCTCTGCCACTGACTTGCAGTGTGACCGTGGCCTAGTCTGCGTATCTCCTCTGTCAAATGAAGTTTTTTTTTTAAATTAAATTATAGCTGTGTACATTAATGCAGTCATGGGGTACAATGTGCTGGTTTTATAAATAATTTGAAATATTTTTATCAAACTGGTTAACATAGCCTTCATGGCATTTTCTTAGTTATGTTAAGACATTTGTATTCTACATTTAGTAAGTTTCACATGTACCCTCAAATGAAGTTAATAGTACCTATGCTTTTCAGGGTTATTGTTGTGAAGATTAAATGAACTAATACATGTAAAGACTTAGGATCGTTCCTGGAGCTTAATAAATGCTACTTGTTGTTATTACTGACCATGTCCTATTCGTACCATTGCCTATAAGCACATTTTTTTTCCCCCACACAAAATTAAACAAAACATGAAAACTGAAAAGAAGACCATGCTTGGTATCAGAGACACCAGGCTACAACTCCTAGCTCAGCACATACTACTAGCTGGATGATCTGAAGCACATTATTGTAAATTTTTTAAGCCTCAGTTTTACCATTTCTAAAATAGGAGAAAACAGTATCTATTATGTAAGGCTACTGTAAAGTTTAAATAAGAAACAAGAAAACACACATAAAACTTGTTAGTATGATATTTCACACAAAATGTGCATTTAATAGCAATAGCTATTTCACAATAATGTGGCTGAATTTTATTTAAAATATAAATATATAAATGTATGTATGTGTATATATGTGTGTGTGTGTGTATGTGTATATATATGCAGAGTCTCAAGTTGTTGCCCTGGGTAGAGTGCCTTAGCGTCACAGCTCACAGCAACCTCAAACTCTTGAGCTTAAGTGATTTCTTGCTGCAGCCTCCCAAGTAGTTGGGACTACAGGTGCCTGCCACATGCCCGGCTATTTTTTTGTTACAGTTGTCATTGTTGTTTAGCAGACCCAGGCCAGGTTTGAACCCACCAGCCTCGGTGTAGGTGGTCGGCACCCTACTCACTGAGCTATGGGTGCCGAGCCAAATAAAAAATATTTAAAAGCTGTAAAAGTAAAATTCCTTAGAACAATCCTGTGAGTTAGGTGTTATGGCAGACATTAGAAGAGGAACATGAGGTTAGGGAGGCTAAGTAACTATTTCAAGGTCTTTACATTACATTTTCAAAAATGGCAGAAAAAGAGATTCAGTCCCCGGATTGTATGAATTTATTAGATCATAGTGCCTTCCAAGAGTCCATGTCACAAATCCTTATTCAACAAATACAAAGCCAGGTATGTTTCAGGCACTGTCTCTGTACATACACATTTCCTATCTTTCATAAAAATAGGATATGATAACTAAAAATAATAGTTAACATTTATTATTCTATACAAGGTACTGTCCCAGACACTTTACACATATTAATCTGTGCTGACTGTATACCTATTTCTCCTTGGACATAGCATGGACATAATCAGAGAACTGTGCAAAATTCCACTGCAAATTGGATATATGGATAGTATACTTTATTATTATTTAAGGTTTATTGTTCTCATAATTACAGGCTACAATGTAGACATCTGAAACATAAGAGAAATTCTATAAAGAGAGCCAAAAAAACCTGAACCAGTATGTATAAGATGGTTAGACTTTGTAAGTAGTGCCATTTAGCTCTTCGGCAATACCTGCTGTCTTTTTCAAGCACAGGCCCTGGAGCCAGAGTCAGCAACATAAAATATCACAAATGGCTCTAAGACATTTATCCTACACAGGCGAGCATGGAGTGATATATATTTATATGATATATACACACTTTAATATCATATTGGTCCACTGAGTATACATATTTTAACAAAAGATAAGAATCTATGTAATCCAGTTAAACATACATAAGATTAGGGTACATTTATTACATCAAAAGTTGGTGTTTATAAGTTACATATATTTAATATTTTCTAGAGTGTTTTTTTAATTAAAAAAAATATTTTAAAAGCATTTCAAACATACGTTCATTTTCCCAGTGCAAAAGAAGGTTGTTCAAGTCAACTTACCTTTTTCCTAAGGAGTAAGGGGAAGAGAACAAGAAAACACCACCTTTCACAACTCTCAACACTACCTTGTCAACCAACTTATGTAGTAAATCTTTAGGTTGCTGGATTAGTTTATCAAAATTAAAGTCTTGCAATTATAACACAGCCCTTGCTTCGTATGTATGACTTTTATGCTGAAATGTTTCTATTTACAAAGGTAGAAAAAAGCAATGTAAGAAGTGGTTTAAGTTTGTTTTAAACTGCAGCAATCCAATTGTGTATGGAAAGAAAAAAAGCACCATTTCAAGATAAAATGAATTGGATATTTTTGTATTTATTTATAGGCTAGGCAGTAAGTTACTCTGATTAACACAAATCAACACCACCTTGACTTGGTGACGCCAGAGAACTTTAATGTTTTTGAGTGCATTTTTCTTTATCTTGGTATTCAATATATCATCTAAATCAGTAACTCCTGTTTAAAAAAAGTAAGATTACAAGTTATAGCCTACTTCACAGTCTATTTCAAATTCAGCTTGTTTGCTAGATCAGTTTTACAGGAAATGGTCTTTTAGTAATTATTCATACAATACATGAATAATTTTGAAAATTTGGCAGGTCTCTTTTCTCCCAATTAAAAAACAAGAATTTTTGCTAGTTTGCCAATTTTATAGGTGAAAGATATGAAGAGTAAATAAATGAATTTAAGATGGATAAAAAGCAATATAATACACATTACTTTTCCTACGTATATTCAGTGAAAGATTTTATATTTCAAGTAATTGAGCCTTCATTTAAGAAAACAAAACAACTTCCTGGTCTACAAAGGGCAAAAGAAAAATAAAAGAAAACCAAGAGAAAGTACCTTCCAGTTCTAGCCTGCTGAAGTTTCTTCTGCAAAGTACAGAAACAAAACTAAGAGGACAGGGCCATAGCGAAGGCGGACGAGCGGCTTACCTTATGCTGCTGGGTATATTTTAGGTGATAGATACATTTTCTCCACTGCCTAGCACTTACAATGAACATTTTCCTACAAATCTGATTTGTAAGAAATTAATTTTATTAATTAGCAAACATATGGAGAGGTATCTGTTGATCTAAAATTCTTTAAATTCAAAGAAATTTTTTAAAAATTATTTCACACATGAAGCTTTAACATTTTTATTTAGGAAAAGATCGAATCTAAAGCTGTAATGGTTCAACCAAAGTATTCCTTTTTCAGTGGTAAAGTTGAAATATGTTTCCTTGTCTCTAAAAAACAAATTAAACAGTATTTTTACTATAAGGGAATATAAAAATGCATTTAAACTAATGCATTTAAACTAATACTTCCTTTGCAGTAATCATAAAGGAGATAAGATGTTCTTTCCCTTACTCTCCCTCAACCATTAAATCAGGGAGAATACTGAACACTAAGAACCCCACTGGCTATCATCAGAGTAACTACAGAGCAAGTGCGGCATAGGGTGAAACTACTTCTCTATGTTCCAGAAGGCAGAAGCGTGGGTGCTCTAGCTTTTCGGGTTAACGTGGCAGAGGCAGGCAGAAGCTCACACTAACGTACACCAGAACGGGGACCTAGGTGAAGGTGTCTGACTGGGTTACTGCTTGCACAAGAAAGTGACAAATCTGAAATGGTGTTTAAAAAACAAACAAAAAACCAAACTTAAAATTTTGTCACATTTATAGGAATCTCAAACCTTGTGTATTTCCATGCTCATCGGTAGTTTTTTTACACATCGTAAATAGCTCCAGTATTCAGGAAGAAGAAAATGGGACTGTTGACAAAGGACAAAGAATTCTTCATGCTTCTGATATCTCAGATTTGCTGAGTGCAATGGCCAGTTCTAAGTCTTCCTGCTCTTGCTGATTCAGCCGGGCAAGCCTCTGTTCCTCCTCTCTTTCACTCTCCCTCTTGGCCCATTCAATCATATCTTCTTCAGAGGGATACTGCCATTTAAAAGACCAAATGAATGAGCAAGTAAATGAAGGGTTGAATAAACTAGTAAGTAAAACAAGTAAAAAGAAAGCAACATTAAAGGTCATTAACTATTTGCTTCACTTGAAGGACCCTGGAAATAGTCTTAATTTTTTTTTCTGAAAAAAAATTTAATTTTAATCAAACTGTGGTTTAATTAAAAAGTAAGTCAGTGTACAGACAGACCATCTATAAAGCCAAACATTAAAAATATCATCTGGCTGGGTACAGTGGTTCATGCCTATAATCCTAGCACTCTGGGAGGCTGATGTGGGTGGATTGATTGAACTTAGGAGTATGAGACTAGTCTGAGAAAGACACCTGGTCTCTACAAAAAATAGAAAAACTAGCTGGGTATTTTGTTGGGCACCTGCAGTACCCAAGAGGAATGCTCAAGCCCAAGGGTTTGAGGTTGCTGTGAGCTATGATATCATTGCACTCTATCCAGAGTGAGACTCTGTCTCAAAAAAAAAGGTAAATAAATAAACAAACAAATAAAATTGCGTCCTGCCCCAACATTTAAAAAAGAAATTACCATTTAGAGTAGAAATGCTTAGTAGATTTAATAAAAGGAGAGGGTTAGCTTCTCTGATCTAATGTAAAACATCTGCTATTTAAACTTCAACGAACATCTTCACATGATAAATTATTTTTAACTTAATCCCACTGGCAATTTTCTACCTCATCCTACTTGCCCATCAGGTGTAGAAAAACTATGAAGCAAAAAAACAAAGAAAAATGTTGATTTTGCTATGCATAAGAGTGTTGGGTATTCTAAGCAAGTGCGGACCAAATTATATTTTTAAAAAGCATTTTGAAGATTTTGCCAGGCTTTGAGAACTTTTAGATCCAGTCTAAATAAAACCCTAATACTAGTAATTATTAGGTTGGAGAAATATTTTTATCCACCCAAAACAGCAATCTTGGCAGATACTAAATACAAAATTCTATTTGGTTTCAAATCTTATCCTATGGAGGAATCCCATAAAAGAATAAAATAATTTGTCAGATCTTTTGAAAATGGTAATTTTTTTCCTAGGGAATTAAATAAACCTTGGAACCTTAAAATACTTTCATAATGAAAAAAGAAAGATATTTTTAATATAACCTTTATATCATACTATATTGAGATTTGAGTATAAAGTGAGTAAAATGTCTTAGCTATTGTTCAAAATTCACTCCAATCAAGCTGACATGCTAATACCATATTTAAAATATTAAATGTTACAAACTGCCAGAGGGTTGTTTTACACTAAGAGAATTTTAATCTCCTAAGAAGGTCAATTCTTGATTCTCTGAAAATCCCAGGTCAACTGGGATTTTCAAATCAAATTCCATCTTTTGAAAATCAAGTCAGCATAAATTTTTTGTGTGTTTTGAGACTGAGTCTCAAGCTGTTGCCCTAGGTAGCGTGCCGTGGTGTCACAGCAACCTCAAATTCTTAGGTTTAAGCGATTCCCTTGCCTCAGCCTCCCAAGCAGCTGGGGCTACAGGTGCCCGCCACAATGCCTGGCTATTTTTTGGTTGCAGTTGTCATTACTGTTTGGCAGGCCTGGGCTGGATTCGAATCTGCCAGCTCTGCCGTACGTGGCTGGTGCCCTGGCCACTAAGCTACAGGCGCCAAGCCAAGTCAGCATAATTCTGACACGCTATTTTTATGATATTCGAAATACTGATTCTTATTTTGCTCCTTTGCATTCTGGAAAAGCCACTGGAACTGAAAGTATAGACTCAAAAGCAGGGTAGGTCAGTTGCAGATTCTTATGCACCTCCTTTCTAACTAGAAATAGCTCTGGGGATAACTGACCTAGTGTTATACTGAGGAGGGAAACTTTAGACAGACTGTGACCAGGGTTGCCCTGGCCACTTGATTTCCTACTTCTAAAACTATCTCAAGGACATAAGGTAATAAATAGGAGAAAACTGCTGGGATAGCATAAGCAGTGACAATAAAGGATTTTTTGCCTGGAAAAAAAAAGACTGGGAAAATGAAACTGTCACCTACTCCAAGAATTTTATTAAAAATACCTTGTTTTTACCCAAATAATGATGGAACATAGGACAATACTTTATGTCTCTCCAGAGTGACACCTACTCCGTTGGTTGCCCAATTTCTGCCATCTTATAGGCCCTGTTTGTGTCATTATCACAGCACCCTTCTCCATTCTTTCTAATGGTCTTCCTATTTCAGCTAGCTCTGAG